GTGTTGTATATCAGGATCTGAGTTGGAAATCTGAATTGCTTTGAAAACTCTGTCTTCCTTGCAGGTCCATAGTACTACATGCTTTGCATGTCTGCAGGCCTAAGCATGTTTCTACAGGTTTCATCTCTGTCCCGGAATGTGTTCATGTTCAAAGTCTTTGCCTAGAATTATATATGATAATATAGAAATACACTGCTATTTATTAGCAGCATACTAAAATCAGGCATTTATTCTTTTGATAATTAGGATTTTGTAAATGTTTACATTTATCTTTTTGAAGAGAGGTAGAGGACCTTAAAGTGATTGTTGACCAATTTTCTTTAGATATTAATGGAGAGCTACAAAAATAGTACTGATTAGCCCCACTGTTCCATAGCAATATGTAGAGACACAGCAGAGGCAATATCTTACCACCTTTTTTCCTCCTAGCCCGATTTTAGATGTAGCAGGTGTTACACTTCAATACTTCTTTTATTGAAATAAAATTTTAATTCATGAATATATACACTGCTTGGAAATTCTGTTTTAGGAAAATGTAAAATGATTTTCTGTGTTTTCAAATATAAAATCTGACAAGTTAAAAAATATCATTAAAATTGACTAAAGCATATATATTTTGGTACTTTTAATTTCTAAAATGTTTGCTTGAAAATGACCCCCCAAAGAGAAAATGCATAATACACTTATAATTTCAAACAGGATCATAAACAGTCTAATTTACATTTTTATTAAAAATATTAATATTCTCTTCAAACTTTGATATAAGAAAATATTAAACTTCAGAGAAGAATAAGAGATTTGCTTATATTTTAAGAATATAGTAGCCAAATGACTTCTTTTTCTTCTGTGTAACAATATAAAAATCATTATATAAAAATATTCTCTATTCTCAATTACTATCCAAAACCATACTTGTGGCTGAAAATACTATGAAGCAGTCATACACTAAAAACTTGATAATATAAATAGCTGCATCATTACCACTTCATCTGAGTATGTCATTTATTACATATTTTGATAGCTGTCATGAGGGTAAAAATGACTATAATTATAGTTATTAAAAATTACATAAACAACATAGTCTTCAGTTATTTTATTTGCCTCTAAAATTTTAATTAACAGTTGTTCTTGAAGTAATTTCAGTGTATAAGTTTGTATTATAATTATGTGCACTGGACATTACACTAGATATATGGTCATTTTACAACTATCAATGCTATTTCCTATTTCTCTTTGTATATTTCTGTCTTCAATGTAAAAAAGGAAAAATGTTTTTCAATGAAACCATTGATAATCTTTCTTAATAGCTATTTTGTATTTAAAAAACTAGAATATTTCAACAATTATATTTGTTGAACTTATTTGTCCTCACTTATTAAATAATTGTACGGTTTTAGGGGAAAGGCATTAAAATGAGATTATAAATAGGAATAAGAAGGGAAGGGAAAGAAGATGAGCCCAGAGTAGTGATTAAGTGATCTGGCCCAGGATTCCTGGAAGCCAAAGAAAATGGCTTTTGGCACTTGGATTAAAAAGGTCTTTCATAGAGCATTTGTATAGGTGACACTGAATTGTAACAACACTTTCTATGTTTTAATCGATACAGAGTACTCCGTAAATTATAAAAACACTATACAAACATGATATTATAATAAACTATTGTGTGTATATTCTTGAACTTCATGTTCACTCCATTTTTATCAATTTAACTTATAAAGACCATCCTTTAATACATGCTAGCCTGAGATTAAGTAGTATCTATGAGATACAAAGCCTGAAGTAAAATTTTCATTAAAACTGAACACTACTGATGCTGGGCACGGTGGGACCCATCTGTAATTCCAACAAACTTGAGAGTCTGAGGCAGGAGGATCAAAAGTTCAAGGCCTGCTCAGCAACTTAATGAGACCCTTAGCAATTTAGAGAGATCCTGTCTCAAAATAAAATGTAAAAAGGGCTGGGGATGCAGCTCAGTGGTAAAGTACCCTGGGGTTCAATCCTGAGTACTGCAAAAAAAAGAAAAACCCAAATCCACTGATCACTGTTACTCAACCTCTCTGATTTTGCAATATAAAATCATACACATGCACACAACACAGAAATACATAAAACAGTCACTTCCTTTAGGCTCTTCAGAGGCAAAGGTGAATTACATAGGAAGATATTAATCACCTCTGAAGTACAGTTTTTCAATTTTAAATACATTTTTTTCCAGCAGCACTTATAGCTGAATAAAAAAGACTTAAAATGAACATTAAAATTTTCTTCTAGTAATTTACAAAAATATTTATTCAAATCCTAATTTTATTTTTCCAAGAATTTCTGCATTGCCCACTTTAACCAGAGTCTGTCCACTTCTTTATTAAGAATGTGAACTTATTTTATTTCTATAGAGCTGGACTCTTCAACCTAGATTATAAAATTTATATATATATAATAAAATATCATATTTTATATATATATATTTTAATGGAATTTATTTCTATTTCATGATTTTGGATTAACTCCATCAACTAATCTTATGGAGAATAAGTCTTCTCTCCCCAGTAGGCAAACTCACCTTCCATCTGTTCCATTTTAAATGATTGATAGCCCCTTTGTGCTGAAAAGTGTTTCCCTGATTTAAGTACATCTTAGGAGTCAGCTGAGTGAAATCCTAAGGAATTCCTTCATTTCTTCATTCATTTAAAGTGCCTCCTATGTTCTGGGCTAGGCTATCAGAAGACAGGGATAAGACATGGCCCCTTAAGTTCAAACCCTTTTAATTCTGCTACGGTGTGGAAGAGTACCTGAAACAAAGTGTCATGGGGCCTTGCTATACCGAATATTCTAATGGGGGGGTTCAAGAAAAAGGGAAGGGAAATCAGAAAAGTCTTCCTTAGGTGACAATACTTGACGTAAGCACTAAAAATGAGTGGATGGAGAGGGGAAGGGGAGATTTCCAGTCAGGGAGATTGATAAAAAAAATCCTCACAACGTGTAGAATTTTGAAACAGTTCTATATAACAAGAAGTAATAATTGGGAAGGGGAAGTTTTCCACCACTATGTATAAAAGCTCACAATGTTGATTATGGTTTTGCTAATAAACTGTGCAACCATCAGACTATGAGTTAGATTAGTACCAAATGAAAGCATCAAGTCTAGTCTTCGTTCTGAAAATTGTCAAAATTTCAGTGACTTAACCATGTGTAAATTTAGTATTGCTTATGCAGATCCTGTTGTATGTTCTAGAACTCTTCTGGCAGCTGTATTCGGGGCAGTAGTTTTAGCATTCCAGTGTCCTTCAGTCTTGTCCAACCTCCATCTTAAAATATACTTCCACATTGCAGCAGCAGGGGACAGAGTATCAAGACATGAGAACTGATTCTTCAGTGACTTCACCAGGAAACCAAAGAAAGTCACACAGTCATCTCTAACTTCAGTGGGGTAGAGGGTATAATCCTTCCCTAAGCCTAGGACAAGAAGGAGGACAGGAAAATGGCATGGAAAATACTTTTAGCAGTTATGAAATGTTACAGAAATATTTTATGTTTAAGATTAGCCTAATGGGGTCCATAATATTACTAGTAGGTCATAAATTATGATTAAAAGTAATTAATGTTCTAATCTTGATCTTATGATTGAGAGTGATACACATTAATTAGTTTCACTATTACTCAATATGTGTATCATTGTCTGTGCAAGCAACTGTAAAAGCTAGTCATTTAGAGCATGAAATGATTCATGAAATGGTTTAATCTGAGCTATTGTTTAAGTCTAAAATCCAGAGGCATTTAAATGAATTTCTTTGATACTAGTCACAATATTTAAAAGCAACTTTTGGTGATAAGATTCCAATACTGTAGTTTAAATGTCACTTTATTTTCATTTCATATGCAAGTGTGAACTAAACTATATTATGCACTGGAAACATACTAAGGTTGCTTATTATAGACATAGGACATATTACTAGGTAGCACTTAGAATTTTAATTTCAGCAACATTTTTGGTTGCTACAATGGATAAAATGCTAAAGAGGCATTTCATCAAGCATGGGTCCTAAATATCAGTTTAACACGGATCAATTTAAATTTTCATAACTGTACTTCTTGTTATCCTATCAGGGTGAAGTGGCTAATAGATTTGTTAATTGATATAATATTACAGCAGAGGTCCCCTTCTGGATGTTCCTTCATAGAGGGTTTCTCCAACACTTCATTCCAAATAGTTTTATTTTTAAAATTGTAGCTTCCAGTTAATTTCTTAGTTTCACATTATTTTCTGAAAGCAAGCTTTTGGACCCATCAAAATGACTTACACCTGAAAACAACTGGCACTGAGAGTATATAAATGATATGCAAATATACCTGTTTTGTCAGGTGCAAAGAATCATCCAAAGAGCATGCAATGTGGGCACACAGCTGTGTCTACATGATTCCTTTACTCCTGTAAAACTTAACAAGAGATGAATGAAATCTATCATCCGACTCTTAGTTTATAGATTGTCACCAAATAATGTTCAGTCCTCACGTCACAGCTGTTATAGGTTTAAATCAAAACAAAAATATGCTTCGGAAGACTAGGCAAAGTTAAACCTACCAGGATTAGAAAGATCACAGTGTCACAGGTGTTTTAACACAATAGTAACACAGAGGTAACACCCCCGCCCACCCCACCCCCACTCCCAAATACTGGATGTCGAAGGTCAGACTTCAGGGAGGTTAAGCTGCAGGCCCTGTTCTGCGAGTTGCTTTCTGTACTTCCGCAGCGATCGCTCTGGGGTTCTCCAAGTGCAGGTACCTTCCCTTTCTCCCCACCTGTTAAGCTTGGGCGCGCCAGGCTTTCTGAAGCGACGCCCTAGCGGTGGGAATGGGAACGCTCCGCATCGGAGCTTCCTTTCCGTTTGGCTTCCCCAGCAGTACCCCCAAAACCCTGAAGCCCTGGGGGAAGGAAATTCCAACTCGCTCGGTGCACACTCCCGCCCCGTTCCTCTCTCCGGCTCGCTGCCTCCCTCGCTCCGATGCCGCCGACCTGTTCCTCACTTCTGGGAGGCGGTGCGGCGGAGAAGGTTGCGAGTTCCCGGACTCAGGGCAGGGACATGGGGCAGGGTGAGTGAGTCGAATTGGGGTGAGGCTCCGTAGCGCTCCACGAACGCCTGGCTTCCCGCCCTCGGTGCAGTGGGAGGCGGGACGCGGCCCGGCCCGGCCCGCGCTGGGCTGAGCCTCGGAGACGCTGCAGCTTTGCCCTCCATTCAAGTCCTGGCTTGAGAGCCAAGCTTCAAGCGCGCGGGCCGGGGGAGGGAAGAGTAGGAGAGGAAGCTGCTAGAGAGAACAGGCGAGCCACTGTCTCCTTTGAAAAGAAAGTAGGAGCCCTGGGTGGGAAAAGAAAGATTAGCCCTCCCAACTTTTCTTCGGGAAAAGTTTTCCCTGGGCGTTTTGTTTGTGCAAACTCTGCCGGAGCAGCCCGGGCTCCGTTGCCGGCGTGGCGGCGGTGCCTATGCGCCTGGCCCCGCTTCTTTTCCAGCCTGGGCAGCTCCTCTTCCTCCACGACAGGCGCCAAATGGCTACCCAGTAAACCCCACGGGGCGGGGGCTGCAGCGCCGCCTCCTGCCGTATTGGCCTCCGGCTTCGGCGGCCGCTAGAATCGGTGGGGATTGCGGTGGCGCCTGCGGGCTGGGAACCTGGTCCCGCAGGTGGAAGCGTACCCGGGAGGCGGGCCCGCCCCGGGCTGAAGTGGGTCGGGCGGGCTCTTGACAGTTGGCCAGCCCCGCTCCGGCCTGGGAAGGCGCGCGTCCCGCCCTGACCGGCCGGCCTCTCCCACCCCAGCAGTGACGCGCCGCCTCAGAGCTGGAGCCCGCGCAGCACCCCGCAAGGCGATGGACAGCCAACCCCCCTGTGCTCAGGACGCCCCCGCGGCGCCCACGCCGCTCGCCGCTCCGGCTGGGTAAGCCCCGAACGTCGCGCCACCGCTCACCCTGGAGGGCGAGGACCAGGGCAGCGAGGCCTCACCGGTTTACCTGGCTGGCAACTCGCTGCCCTGCCATCGGCCTGACTCACTGGCCATTCTACACGCGGCCAGGGAGGCTGCTTCCTCCCTGCCTTTTCGGAGGCCGCCCGAGGTGGTGGTTTGGGTAGTTTTTGATTACTTCTTACTGGGGTTGTCCTGGGTTGCGGAAGGCCAGCTGAATGCCAGGAATTGGGTGAGGAGTCCGGGAGAAAATATTGTAACAAAGGGCCCCTTGTTGGGGTTTTGGAGCAGCAGTGGACGATACCTGTGAGCCCTGGGAAGGAAAAAAAAAAAAAAAAAAAAAAAGTTTCCTTGGCCAAGGACTGAGACCGAGGCAGAGGCAGGCGACCATGTCAAGGTGACTGTAAGGAAGGGTCTTTCTGAAAGCAAGTGGAGGGCAACTGGAAGATGTGCCAGCTGTCAGCCAGCATGACAGTTCCGGGAGCGGGCGGGGTGCTTGCCTCTGATTGGGGGTGTGTGTGCCTTTGGCCAATTGCTGATGCCAAAGCCAAGCGCAAAGTCAGATTGCAAACAACTATACTTTTCTTTTTATCCTCACGTGTTTGAGGAAAGATTGGAGGGGAAGGGGCTGTCACATGGTGAGTTAATATTAAATGAAGCATGTCTTCCTGCCAAATATGCTAATAATCACCCTGCTAAGCGTTTGGGTAAACAGTAATGAGAACAGGTAGTTCTGCAAGAGATGAGAACCTGAAAAATAACCTTGGTCTTGGTAAATAGTTAAGGCGAAACGTGTTCTGGTTGAGCTTCTGAAGTGGGAATCCCCATTGCTAAAGTGTAACTTTTTCCTACAAGTGTTCCCTCATCTCAGTTTCTTTTCTTTCTTGGTTTATCTGAATGCACGAATGCCCTACAGAGGATACAAACATGACAGAAATAGAAAAGTTGAGGGGAAAATCAACTTCGTTACTAATGAATGAGAATTGTGCCTTGTTTTATCCCCCCCTGATTTAAGAGGGAAGAAGTCATTTTTCCCTGGAACATGACAGACAGACGTTTCCTTAGAAGCAAGTCACAGCATGTTTATTCATCAGAGACCATTCGAACATTGGCAGTTGTCTGCAGGAAACATGGAAAAGTCTCAAAGCAACATGACTAATATAAAAGATATTTAGTGTAATGCTTACGTAGAGGAAACATGTAGTGTATGAATTATTTCATTTTCCTTCAAATTGCTACCTTCTCCCCATGCAAATAGCCCTGTTGCTGTTGACTTCCATTTCTCTCTTTTCCCTAGCTTTTCCATTGATTAGAATGGAATATATGAAAGATATTCATTTATTCTAACATTAGGATATATGAAAAAAGAGATACAATCATAAACTTAGCATGAAAGCAAGATCTCTAAATAAATGGGCAGATTTTTGCATCAGGTTTCAGAATACTGAATTTGGGCACCACGAAATAAGACAGAATTGCATTGTTGTACGTGGAAATGGATTAGGTTAAGCTACTTTTTTTTAAAATGTACACAAAATACCCTCATATGTTCATAAATCAGTGACATTTTGCATGGGTTCAGATGGGTCTGTGATGAAGGGAAAGCGACAGGTATAGTAAGATAATTCCAGTTTTGCTTTTCAGACTTTAAAGTTTCAACCAAGTTCTTTGCTTTAAAAGAATGTACATGTAGTTCTTACCTCCTCTCCAGACTAAAGGAGAGACACCTGGAAAAAAATGCTTCAACATTCAACCTAAGATAATACCCCGAATTCTATCCTTTTATTTTATACTCTCATTAGAGATATCATCACTACTGGAAACATAAAAAAAAGCTTTATTTTTCTACTTAATCTGTCTCTTGTACTTGTCTATCTTGTCTCGTGGCATATTTCAAGGGCCAAGGGCCTGTTATATATTTGTTGAGTATTCGGTATTGTTTTTGTTATATAAATCCTAGAACATTAAAAAAGATTTAAGTTGTGGAAAATTTTATCGATAAGAGTATTATGGAACTGACAAGGAACAAGCTTAATGTGTTATAATTGTAAGGTTTTAGAGCTAAATACTTACATAAAACATTATATAATGACTCATAATTCTAATAATCTGTAAGGCCTAGGTTTAGTCCGTATCCTTGGGTATTCCTGCTCAAAAGTTCTTTTTGGTTTTCCAAGGTTTACATCTTTATACACATCATTTAAAAAAAATGAATGCAACTGCATATTTTACAAATGAGAATTAAAGACCAGATACACTTGGCTACTGTCTCAGAGAAAATTAGTAGCAGAACCTGAAGGAAAACCTATGGCTTTAGTTGATTAGATCATTGTGTTAATTACTTTCCGTGTTCTCTTGACCATAAAATGATAGATAATTTGTTAATATGTAGATTTTTCTATGTTGAATCACTAACTCAGTACTATGGTTTCAATATGATGGTCATCTACATACTCATTTGCAGAAATCTTGGCCCCCAATGTAAAGGCATTGGGAGGTGGTTCCTTTAAGAGGTAATTAGGTCTTTAAAGAGGGGTAAATGCTTCTATATGGGAGTGGGTTTCTATAAAGTGAGCTTGCCTCTCTCCTTGCTCCTTTCACATTTTGCACAGGATCCTACTGTGATGTTGTCCACCATAATATGACTCAGGCAGAAAGCCTTCACCAAGGCCAGAGACACTGCCTGATCTTGGACTTTCAGACTCTAAACCTGTGAGCTAAATAAACCTCTTAAAAAAAAAAAAAAAGTAAGTGACCAGTTACAGGTATTCTCATAGCAAAAGAAAATGGACTAAAATAGTGTAGTTCTCTGTTTTTATACATTTCAGGTGATATTATTTGATAGCCTTCTCCCCACTTGCATAATTTCTGTAAGTTAGCATGTTCAGGGCATGACTGATTATTTTAGGAAAATTAATTTTTTATGGCCCCTCAGCTGCTTTTTCTTTGGAACATTCTAATTGTTGCATTGCAAGGAATAGTTTAAAAATTGTTCAGTGGCTTCACACATTTAATTCACATGTAGCATCCGTCAAACATTATTATCAGTTACTTGGGATAGATGGCATGTTCTTAATTTTAGTGAAAGTATTGGTATACAGAAGTTTTTCGCCTTAGGATTGTGTGCTGGCAAATGCCTGGCCTTCATCACAGTTTGTGATCCTCTGAATTCTTACCTTGGCCTCTAGTGCACTGCCTTAATCCTTCAGCATTCTTGATTAGTTTTTTCTTAATAGCTTGCAAAGGTATTCAACATATATTTATATCTCACAGGCCTGGTCATGGACATTTGAAATGGGCTGAGTTTTAACATCAAACAACATCAAATCATAACAGGTTTAGTTTTTCTTTGAGGTTAAAATTTGTATGAAACTTTATATACATGTATTGTTAAATATATTGGTAAGAGGTCATTGATTTTGAGTAGGCTCCTGTACTGGGCCCATCAGTCCAAACCAATATAGTATGTAATCACAGTAACAGCTTTGGTTGCAGAAGGCTTTGTAGCCAATTAACTGATTAAGTTGTAAACCATTAACTAGTTAAGATATAACAAGTTTAACTGGTTGATTGAAGAGATTGTAGCCAGTTAGTTGTTTCTATGCCTCACTTGTGCTTTTCTATAAATGTTGTTAGATCATATTGCTGGTTAGAGTTCTTGGAACCTGCTCTTGTTCTGGGAGATGCCTGATTCTCAAATCATTTTTCTTTTGATTTGCTTTAATAAAATATTCACATAATTGTCTAAAGAATTTTCCAGCCTGGTGTGGTGGCACATACGTATAATCCCAGGAGGATTTCAAGTTGGAGGCCAGCCTTAGCAATTTAGTAAACCCTGTCTCAAAAAAAAAAAAAAAAAAAAAAAAGAAAGAAAGAAAAGATCTAGAGATGTAACTCAGTGGTAAAGTGCCCCTGAGTTTATGTGTAATATATAGTCATGTATGTCTTATCTACGTCTTCACATATATTAAATTTGGATTAATTTGCATAGTAAGCTAGATAAAAATGGTTATACATTGTATTTTGTTTCTTTTTTTGAGGGGGCAGGTATTGAACTCAGAGGTACTCAAGTACTGAGCCCTTTTTTTTTTTTATTTTTCATTTTGAGACAGGATCTCAACTAAATTGCTGAGGCTGGCTTTGAATTGGCTGTCCTCCTGCCTCAGTCTCCCAAGCTGCTGGGATTATAGGCCTGTGCCACCACATCTGGCGTTATTTGTTTCTTACAAATAACGGAAAATACTAGGTTGGTTGTTGTTGGTGGTTTTCTTTTTACTTTTGAGAGGGCAACTCCATTGGAGAGACTGGTTGAAAAGTTAAAATGTTTTGAAGTTAAAGGTGGCAGCCCAAAGTGATTTTTCTTTCTACCATGGATATCCAATGACAGGACAACAATTTTGCTTTTTGCTCGTTCAGTTACTTGTAGCTAACCATGGTCTGAAAATATTACATGGAACATTCCAGAAATAATCATTAAGTGTTAACTTGCACACCATTATGAGCAGCATGATGAAATCTCATGTGTTCTTGCTCCATAGTGTCCTATCCATCCCAGGATGTGAATTCTCTCTTTGTTCAACATATCCATGCTGTATATAATACCTACTCATTAGTCACCTGGTAGCTCTCTTTGTTATCAGATTGGCTGACTTGGTTTCGCAGTGCTCTGAGTTCAGGTAAACCTTATTTAACGACGGCCTCAAAGTGGAAGAGTGGTGATGCTGGCAATTCAGGCGGCAAACAAACTGTAAAGTGCTTCTCCTTGAACCCAAAGTACACTGACATTTTTAGGAAGACTACATTAACTTTTGTTACAGTAATATTCTGTTTTATTAGTTATTGCTAATCTGTTACTGTGCCTAACTTGTAATTGAACAATTTTGTGGTATGCATAGAAAAACCTGTATAGAGTTCAGTACTGTCTGAGATTCCAGGCATCCACTGGTA